AAAAGGTGGTGGGCCCGGCGTGGCCAGGTGGTTAGGGCACTTGACTCACAATCCCCGTCCCATCAAACATGCTCGCCCTTTTAGCCGTGGGGACGTTATAATGTGATGGTCAATCCCACTATTCATTGGTAAAAGAGTAGCCCAAGAGTTGGCAGTGGGTGGTGATGGCTAGCTACCTTTCTTCTAGTGTTACACTGCTCAACTTGGGACGGCTAGCGCAGATAACCCTCGTGTAGCTTTGTGTGAAATTCATAACAAACCAAAAAACAAAGGTGGAAATTTGTCTGTGTGTGGAAATAAGATGTTTAATGTGAAAGTGAGTTTAAAAGTTACTCTTTAAATTTAAACCGAGGATAGTACATGTGTGATTAACTTAGGAACACACACTTGATGAAGAGATCAGATCGAAAAGCCGACACAACCAACTTTTTACTAATACGTTAGTTCATCAATCCAATGACATCTAATATTCTGTTTCAGCTTGACCATACTCATTTCATATCTCTGATAAAGAGAAAAAACGGCGAGAAAGTTGCCTGACACAAACATATTCAGAACATGAAACTCAGAAAACTTTTGTCAAGCACTACCTCCAACCTTGACATCAACTGTTTAATTTTTGTTCTGCTCAATAGAGTAATCCATGTAAATAAGCTGCAGAAAAAGGCTTGAAGTTTCACCACCCCTCGAAAATTGGACTGTGCCAACTGTCTTTACCCATTCCAAAAAAATTTATGTAACTTAATTTCCAATTTACATTCTCGAACATCCTAACATAGCCTTAGATTTGTTGAAACTAAATTAAAGAACTTTGCTTTCTCTTACAACATTTATAAAAGTCACAAATCTCATTCTCCCCTCAGTCACTCTGAATTATCGAATTTCTTGGAACTTTCTCAGGGCAAAAAATATTTGAAACTCAACCTGACAAAGGCAATAGTATTGAGCTTATGGAAAAGAAAACAAAATATATCTCCCAAATAAATTTTCTAAGGGGAGACAAAAGTAAGTTCAACAGTCTTAACTGTAACCTCCTATAACTCACTTCACAATGTAAAGAGAAAATACTTTTAAACTTCAAAACAACATTGTAATTTCTTCAACTATTCTTTATTACTTCTGCACTTCTGGATTTTTAAACCAGTCTCTCTAAATTTCACAAAACTAACACACCTCTACGTCCTACCGTCTCTCATGATTAAAATTATTTAAGATTTTGGTTCTTATTTTAAGTCCATTAACTATTGACGAAATTATCATTAACAATTGGTTTCTCTTCCTCAGGAAATCAGGGAGGGGGGGGGTCAAACATTTTCGTTTGATTTATTTGATCACGCCCATAGATTAATTTATTCTAATCCTGCCTAAAAAGGAATTTCATTTTGAGGAAAGTGGTAGAGAATCCTGATGAATAATAAAATCGAATAGGGTATACGCGCGCCCCATGCTTGGTATTGCTGGCGTACAAAAAATATAGCTGATAAACGACATTCTTTTTTTTTCAAGTACAAACTTTTAGCTCATAGCTCCGTGATCTCTTGACCGATTTGAGATCTAATTATAGTTTTCGACTCAGGGGGTCAAACCTTTTTGATTGATGTATTTGACCACGCCCAGGGTCTCATAGATTAATTTATTCTGATCCTGCCTAAAAAAGAATTTCATTTTGAGGAAAGGCTGGTAGAGAATCCTGATGAGTAATAAAATAAAATAGGGTATACGCGCGCCCCATGCTTAGTATTGCTGGCGCAAAAAATATAGCTAATAAAAAGGGAAACAATGGTCTCATAGATTAATTTACTCTAATCCTGCCTAAAAGAATTTCAAGTGCCGCAGCTATTGAGGTTTTTCCTTTTGTTTAACTTTTAGGTGGATGCTTTAAATCCATCTAGTAATAACATTCAATAATCCAATTCAATTTATTCAAGTGGCATTACTTCTTTACTGATAAAATATTCTGCCGAGTGTACATCAAATACGCTGAACAAAAAAGGTGCACAATATGACAACAGTCATATTATTTAGCCATCAAATGTATGATACCAAAAGAAATTCTTGCCACGTTTGGTTGAACGATTGGTTTCAAGCCATATACTTATCTATATCTCAAAAACCCACTATGCATAATACTATACTGTCGATAATGTTTTACATATTTATAGATGCAAGATAACAGCATTGTAGACTTTGAACATTCTTGGCACGTTTGGTTGAACGATTGGTTTCAAGCCATATACTTATCTATATCTCAAAAACCCACTGTGCATAATACTATACTGTCGATAATGTTTTACATATTTATAGATGTAAGATAACAGCATTGTAGACTTTGAACATGATGTCCTCTGGGAGAGTGATAATGCAAGATAACAATAACACACATTGCGCCAATCCCATTAAAACAAATCCTATTAAAATACAGTAAGTACAGAACAACTATTATATCTGAAGCCCTTTTCACAAAGTGTCCTATAGAGAAATTGGCCAGTTCCTTTAATAAGTTTTGTAAGTATAACACTTTTTTTTCTGCTTTTCGACTCAGTAACTTCCCACAGAAACCTTGTCTAGCCCCAGTCGTTCATAATAAATGTTGTAAATATAACACTTTTTTTCCTATTTTTCAATTCAGTAACTTCCCATAAGAAACTTTGTCTAGTCCCAGTTGCTCATAATGACACACAAAAAAGAACTTTTTTAACCCTCTGTACTCATTTATGATTTATTTTCATAAACATTCCTCTCGAATAAACTTTATGGTAAAATCATAAATAATATTCAACGTGAAACTGGTACACAATTAAAAACATTTTATTTAGGCCTATCTATGGCCTTTTTCTCATCCTGAGGATGACGTTGTAACGTCGAAACATGTAGAGTCGTCAACTTTTTGA